ATGGTTTGGGGGAAGGGCAGCCAGGTCCCCTTAAGCCTCCAAACGGGGCCACCCAGCAAAAGTCTTCCTCTGCACAGAAATGGTCTACAAGACCTGGGACATTTTTCAAATGCCCAATATTCAACAAAAGATCACAAGGCAGAAAAAAGAAAACATGGTAACCACAAATAAAATACCTGTAGGATATACACAAAAGCAAATGAGAAAGGAACCAAAATGTCCCTACAGAAAAAAAAAATCACCTGAACACAAAGGAAGGCAGTAATGGAGGAAAGGAGAAGGGAGAAGGCTGTAAGACACAGAAAACAAATAAAATGGCAAAAGTAAGTCGTCTCCAATCAGTACTTAGTTTAAATGTAAACGAATTAGGGGCGCCTGACTGGCTCAGTTGGAAGAGCATGCAACTCTTCACCTTGGGGTCATGAGTTTGAGGCCCATGTTGGGCATAGAGATTACTTAATAAAATTAAAAAGAAAATGTAAATGAATTTAAACTCCATAATCAAAAGACACAGATTGGCAGAATGGATAGAAAAGCAGGGTCCATCCGGATGCCGTCCACACGAGACTCACTTTAGATATAAGGACGCATGTGGCTTGAAAGTAAAAGGATGGAGGAAGGTATTCTGTGCAAGCGTAATGACAGGAGAACAGGGGTAGCTAGACTGATGTAAGACAAAATAAACTTCAGGACAGAAACTACTCAAGAGACAGAGAACGGCATCATATAACCAAAAGGTCAGTTCACCAAGAAGATCGGAGAGTTACAAATATATATGCATCAGACATCAGAGCTCTGAAACATCTTAAGCAAACACTGACAGTAATCGTGGAAGAGTCTAATACTCCACTCTCAGTAATACACAGAAGCAGCAGCCTGAAGTTCAGGATTGAAAAGGGGACTTGAATGACACTGTAAACCAATCGCACCTAACGGACACATACAGAACACCATCCGACACAATCTCATATATAGAAAAACCTAAGAAAATACATACCAAAAAACTGTTAGGACTAAAAAACAAATACATACCACCTTCCTAAGGAGCCTTTTAGGCATTTTTATCAAATCGGTCCCCCAAACAAGGGAACAATACTACTTCAGTTAAGAGAGTGTGGTCCAGGGGCGCCTGGCTGGCTCAGTCGATGGAGCGTGCAACTCTTGATCTCGGGGTCATGAGTTCGAGCCCCACGTTGGGTGTGGAGGTTACTTGCTTTCATACATACATAAGAAAGAAAATATGGTCTAGTGTAAAAGTAATACTGTGTTGTGAAGTTAGCATATACAGAAGTAAAAAGGATGATGTCTACAGCACAGAGGAAGGGAGGGGAGAAATGGAAGTTACCACTGTAGGCCTCTGACGTAGGTGATGTGTGTTTGAACACAGACTCTGATACGTCCGAGAGGAATATGGTAACTCTTGATAATTCACTAAAAACAATGCATGTTATCCAGAAACACACAAAAAATTTTATCACTACATTCATGAGGTGTAGCAGTCAAAATAGTCCTGAATTATATTTGGTAGAGTTTTAAGATTCTACATCTATTATCTATGCACGATGTAGGTCCACTTTTTTTTTTTTTTGGACTCATCATTAACTTTTGGAATTAAAAATAAGCTAAAGGTAAGAACTATCTTACACGATTATACAGAATCCCATAGAATTATGGCTTGTTTAGTATTTCCCAAACTCTTCTGTCTTACAGACCAGGAAAACATACTGACCAGAACTGAGACTGGTATATAGTGATTAATTTTTTAGTTTGTCAAAGATAACATTAAAAAAATTAATAACCTATCACTAGGATTTCAAGGACATTTTAATAGCAAAACTTTTCATGATAAGACTCATTGATTGTCCTTTATGAACCTCACTTTGGTGCATCGATTTTTCTCATCTTTCTACTGATGGGCAAGAATTTCTGCACCAGCTCACGGTGGGTTCATAATCCAGTGTTTGTTATCCCTGGTTTTCCCCCTACTCTCCCCATCCCTCATTAGCTGGTTCATTAACCAGGGGTGGCCCATGTGTCCATCAAAATACTCGTTTCCCCTCCCAAAGTACCCCCACCACCTTTGCAAGCTGTCTTCCTCCACACTTCCTCCCCCATCTTCCTCCAGGCTTCTTGAGCTCCACCATTTCCTTGAGACCCAACTCACATCTTTTACCTCCCACGATCTTTTTTAAAGTGAAGCCTTTCAGAGAACCTTTAGTCAGTTCTTATTTTCAAGAAACTAAACTAAAGCCTCCTAGCTTGTCAGGCTTTTTACCATGTTTGTCCAACAACTAAAATGGTTTTCCCCCTAAGAGAATTTATGCCAACACTATCTTAAATGTCTTTTCTTCCTGATAAAAACAAACAAAAAGACCGTCTGAACTAAAAAACGAATTCAGTGAAGCTGCGGGGTACGATATAAACACGCAGAAATCAGTTGTGTTTCTGTAGGTGAACAATGAGCAACCCAAAGATGAAGTTAAGAAATGGTTCCATTTGTAGCAGCATCAAGAAGAACAGGAATAAACTTCACCAGCAAAATGAAACACTTGTACACTCAAAACTATAAAATTACAAAACGAAAAATTGAAGAAGACACAAAAGAAATGGAAAGACATTCTGGGTTCACGGATTGGGACACAATATTGCTAAGATGTCTTTACTGTCCAAAAGGATCTCCAGATTCAATGCAACCCCTGCAAAAATCTAACAACACTTTGGCAAAACCAGAAAAATCCCCCTGAAAATTCATAGGGAATCTCAGGGACCAGGCCCCCAACCAGCCAGAACAATCTTGAAAAAGAACAATGTTGGAGACCTCACACTTCCTGATTTCAAAACACACACCAAAGCTATAATCATAAACGTAGCTTGGTACTGACATAAAGACAGACATATGTAGGGGGCACCTGGCCGGCTTAGTTGGAAGAGCATACAACTCTTGATCTCAGGGTCTTAAGTTCGAGCCCCACATTGGGTATGGAGATTACTAGAATGAACGAACGAATGAATGCTTAAAAAATAAGTAAGATGGACGTGTAGACCAACGGAAAAGAATGGAGAACCCATAAACCCCTCATGTATGGTCAAATCGACCATTCCGCGGAGGATGGCACTTGGGAACAAATGGCACTTGAAAAACTGGTATCCACATGCCAAAGAATGAGTTTGAACCTCCCTACCTTATGGACCAAAGATTTAAACAGAACAAAACTATAAAAGTCTTAGAGAAAACCTAGGGGAAAAGCTTCGTGACACTGGGTTTGGCAATGATTCCTTGGATATGGCAACAAAAGAAAACTAGATAAACTGGGCTACATCAAAGTGTAGAACTTATGCGTGAAAGGGGCACTATCAAGAGTATGAAAGGGCTGCCCACAAAATGGGAGAAAGTGTGTGTAAATCCCAGAAGTAGGTGTAAATCCTGTAAGAGGCTAGTGTCCAGAATATATAACATCTTTCTACTGATGGGCAAGAATTTCTGCACCAGCTCATGGTGGGTTCATAATCCAGTTCGTAACTTAAAAAAAATCCAACAACCCAGTTAAGAAATGGACAGAAGATATGAATAGATGTTTCTCCAAATGGTCAGTAAGCTCATGGAAAGATCGTCAAAATCACTCATCACAAGGAAAATGCAAACACAAACCTCAATGAGACGGACGCCACCCTGCCCCCATTCGGATGGTTGTTACAACAAAGAAAGGAAACAAGCGTTGACCAGGATGTGGAGAAATTGGAACCCGTTTACACCACTGGCCAGGGTGTAAAATGGTGCAGTTGCTGGGGGAAACTGCATGGCAGTCCTTCAAAAAATTCAACACAGAATGACATGATGCAGCAACTCCACTTCTGTGCCTGTTCCCGAAGAACCGAGCGCTCGAGTCCAACAGATGCTGGCAGGCCCGTGATCACGCAGCGTCATCCACAATAACCAAAAGCGCTCCGTCGATGGGTGAGAAGATGAACAAGACGCCGCATACAGATGCAACACAGGAAGGAAGGAAACGCTCTCACAGGCTGTAACACAGACGCGCCCTGAGGATGGATGCTGGGGGAAGCACGCCGAGCACCACCGGACAAGTACCAGACGGCACTACTTACAGGAAACTCCCAGAGTAGACACATCCACGGGACACAAAGCAGAAGCAGAAACCGCCGGCGGTGGCGGGGGAAGGGGGGGAAGGCTTGTGTTTAATGGAGGCAGAGTGTCCTTTCGGGAAGATGAAAAAAAATTCTGGAGAACGGAGGGTGGTGGGGGTTACACGAGCATGTGAATGCTGGACGCTTAGAAATGGTTAAAATGGTGAATTTTATGTATGTTTTCCCATAATAAAAGTTAAGTGTCTAATAACAGTACTTACCTTGCAACATGCTTGGGGAACCTGGGGCACACGCCATGGGGGGCCCCCATAAACAGACCCGGTCTCTGGCCTCCCCGCTCCAGGTGCCCGACCTTCCCACTTACGGATGGAGCGCAGAAGGGGCAGGAGCTCCACTGAGGAACACTCTTCTGCCCTCGCTGTTCCAAGGCTGGTTTTCCTAGAAAGCGGGGCAGTGCCGAGGGCGTGGTGTGAGCGAGCCTGGCCCAGAGCCCGGGGCCCTCCGTACGCCAGCCTCCCTCCAAACACTGACCACACGAGCCTGCCACCCCCGGGTTCCGCAGCTGACTCCCCCTCTCTGAGCTGGGGACCCCTTCTCTGTGGAGAGCCCCCCTTCAGGGCTCAGGGACCACCTACCTCCCAGGACCGGTGAGCCGGCAGCAGCCCCAAGGTGGGGAAACCAAGCCCAAGGGACCAGATGCGAGGGCGTGTTTCCTACCGTCAGAGTTGGGACCAGCCTTCCTCGTCACCATCGCAGAAGTTGCAAGCTGAGACCCTTCCCAGGTGTCATCTGCTCGTCACCAGAGAACCACCGAGTGTGGCTCCTGCCAGGCCCGGGGCTCGGTCCCCGAGGGGCTGAGGGAACACCTCACAGAAACAAGCATTTCCACACACATTAAGGGATGACACGTCCTTTTATAAAATATTTATTCTAAAAAAATCACACTGTACAAATTTAGATAGAACATTCTCAAAGCTCCTATTTATAAAAACGTGAACATAACAGACTGGAGTGAACCGACAAACTTTTGTGGCTGTTTTCTTTTTAAATTAGGCCGGAAAAAAGTGTTTTTTTTTCCAAGTACAGTGACAGTAAACGTGTCGAAGGCGCCCAAGAACCAGCCGATGAAAAGCGTACCGTTCCCCTGCCGCTCCCAGAGCTCACGCTCTCCCAGTGGAGTCTGACCCCACACACACAGGACAGGCGTTCCCACGGGGCGAGGGAGGCCTTGCTGACCCGCGTCAGCCGCTCGCTGAGCCCCCAGAGCCGGTTCCATACAGCACAGAAGTTTGTGCTGAGAGAAAAGCCAGCACGATTTGCTCATAATTTCCTGTTTCTCTAACAAAGTGGGTTTTCCGTACATCTGTTATAAAGTCTGTACAAAAGCACAAAGCTCCTGTGAGGTGTTACTTCTGAGTTAAAAATGGACGACAGAGAACCGTCTTCTACAGTTGAAGCTGTACATTCACACAGAGGGAGAAACACGGTAAAAAATCCAGGAAGCAATTCCAGGCCGGGGAATCCTGGTTTCTGGAAGGGGACCGCAGCAGCTCGGACGTCTGCGCTCTGCCCTTGCTGACGGCCCGGGCCACGTCTCCCGCTGCCACGCGGAGCCCAGGCCGAGGGCCCTCACAGCCAGGGGTGCCAGGCGGGGTCCATGCGGCACAGGTTGTCCAGGCTGTTGGCGGCGGCCACCAGCGTGTTCACTTTGCTCTCCCCGCCTTCGAACTGGGCCAGGTTGTGCAGGCGGGTCATGATGGCCGTGACCGCTTTCTGCACCAGGGACACCAGCTGCTGGCTGTCCATGTTCTCAGGCTGCCCAGCGGCCGAGAGTGGAGAGGAAGTGTCCTCCTGCGTTTTTTTGTGCCAAGCGATGATCTCGTCCCGAAGCACCGTTTTCAGAATTCCATCCACCTGCAAGAGGAGAGAAGAAAATGGTGCTGGCTGATCCAAGCACAACCCGGGGGGGCGGCTTCCTGACGAGGCTGGGCCTGGCCACAGCGGGCCACGGTGCCCAGGGCCTCGTCGATGCACCAGGGAAGCCGCCTGGGGTCCAGCAGTGGCTGGCCACAAGGCACAGCTTTTTGGTCTGAGCAGGGCACGCGTGTCCCATGGCACCTGCTGCTGACACACTGCTTCCCGGTGCCAAATGTCTGCTTCACTTCACGCATCTGAGCACCTGTCGAGGGCCTGTTCCCGGCACTGCAGCCAAGAGTGAACAAAACAGAAACCCCAACAGCCCCTTGCCCTTAGGGGGCTTTGCTCCTGACAAAGACATGCCCGACATTCCCTGTGGTGATGGGCACTGAGCAGAAACAGCAGCTGAGCCGGGCTTGGAGCGGTTCTGGGGGAGGGCGGGGTTGCTGGTGACGAGGTCACATTTGGGGTGAGACAGGAAGGAGTCAAGGACGCAAGGCATGTGGCTGTCACACGACCTGTTTCTCGGGCCAAGGAGAGCCACCCTGGGCCTCCGCGTGGCCACAGCAGACTCTGGGTTCTAGCCCCAGCTCCACCACTTCTGGCCTGGGTGGCCTTGGAAGAGTTACTTCGCCCTCTGTGCCTCAGTTTCCCCATTTATACACAGGGCATAGTAATAGAGCCTCCCAAACGTATTTTTAGAAGAGATTCCCATACAAAATGGTCTACGTTTTAGCCAACCTACAGGCATTCTCTACATTTAGGCTGTTAGGAAATTTGGGTCCAGAGTTTGGAGACAGTCTGATTCCTTCCCATCTACGCTGCACTGTCTACACAAAGAGGAATGCATGGCATTATCCAAGTTGTAACAGGCCTTTGAAATATGGGGAGCCGCCTTCATTCTTTTTAGTTTCCAAATAGATGCCATTCTAAGGACTGCCCTATGATTGCTTCCAGGAGTGTAAGGCCCCGTAACCACAGTGCGAGTAAGATGGGCGCCATCCTGCGGACAACACCTCTGCCCTTTTATTTTTAAGTAACCTCCATGCCCAGCGCGGGGCTCGAACTCGCCACCCGGAGATCAGGGGTCGCAAGCTCTACTCACGGAGCCAGCCAGGCGCCCGTCTTCCACCCTTTTATAGCGGAAAGATTTATATACACGCAAAACGGAAGGCAGCTATGAAACCAAGTAAACAAAACCGACGAGCAACAGTCATCGCTGGGAAAATCATCCAATAGAGGCTTCCAAGTCCTTTGTGTAAAACTGGTTCCTCAACATCCTAAATGCTTTCAGACAACAAACATTTTGAAACACTTTTTCCAGAAAGCAGCAGCTTGAATTGCGCAGCAACAACAGGCTTTCTCCCCGCTTACTAGCCGACCAGCAGCCTGTAGGCCGTGCGGTGTTTGAGCGACCCCGTGTGCGGTGCACCAGCCATCGTGGCCTACCTTGAAGTTGGGCTGGGCGAAGCACCGGGCCACGGCGATCATGGAGGCCGTCAACGGGCCGGAGACGCCGATGGTGGTCAGGAATTCGGAAATGTTGGGGGTGAGGCGGAAAGGGACGGGGCGGTTGGCATCCAAGTCTCCGGTTGCGTCATTTATATCAAACCGAAAGTAGGCCACATTCAGTTTGCCAGTGTCCTAAACACCAGAAGGAGACGGTCTCAGAACTCACACAGCACGATGCAGACGCTGAAGGAGAGGCTCTGCCTGGTGACACCCAATTACCTGAGCGATCTGTAACATCTCGGGGTTGAGTCTATTCAAATGCAAGACGAATTCTGCAAAGCCAATGAGTGCAAGCTGGATGGTGAACATCTTCCGGAACGTCCAGTAGTCCGTGGCGTTGGGGAACGTGTGCAGAGCCCACTCTTTCAGCATGCTGCGTGGCACCATGTTACTCTGAACTTCTTTGAGGATGTCTCGAAGGACCTGAAATGATATATCACTCCACCATAGCTTCCCTCAAACTTGTTTTTTTTCAAAAGGAAAACTCTCCAATTGTAATTTTGTACTTACTTGGCACCAACAGAGTGAATTCTGTTGACAAATACATATGTGATGTCGTTTGACTAAACAAGGGGATGTCAATTTTCCTCTAGGGCTCAGGTCGTATGCTTAAAGCAACAAGAGAGCCATCGAATAAAAGCCTTAGCTGCACGATGTGTGGTATTTGTTTTACCAAGAATTTAGATAAAATCCGAATACTGTAACTTGTTAACTACAGAATATACTAGACCACTTTACAAAAAGAACAAACGAATAGTTGGATACCAACACTTCACACCTAAGACTACTAAAAACAAAAGTCTTATAAACTGAAGGAGCTAGTTTCTTAAAGCAGAGCAGATGTTACACAACACTTCACACTGAATTTCAGTGTTTCAAACACCACAAATTCAGAGGCAGTCTCAGTAAAAACTTTAACTAGAGTTAATTTCGTTCTTGTGAGACCAAATGGTAAAGGCACAAGGTCTATTCTGGGCTAAGTTCTACCCACAGAGAAGCCACTAGAATGCAGGCCCTAAGCAACCAAGAACCACGCAGACCATCAAGAACACTAGCACAAATCATAAAAATAAACTTAAAAAAAAAACCAAACAAAACATTTTCATAGAAACTTTGGAAAATTTTTTAAATTCTGGAAATTAAAGGCTTACAACAATCTGAGTAGCTTTTAGTCAAGAAAGAAAGGCTGAATCTTAGTGACAGTGAGCTTTGTAGCAGTTTAATTACACTATTCCCCTCCCCTTTAACCCACCTCCACACTGGCCTTGAAAACCAACAACTTTGCAACCATGGCAGCTGTAGAAACCGGCAGCCTAACAGCCACTGGCATGGGCAAATGTGTTTAGTGAGCCCCCCAAAACCTCATCTCCAGAGAATTATCACTATTTAACTGGTCGCTTCCTAAAAAAAGCCCCATTCATTGGGCTTGTCTGTTGGACTGAACTCAAGAGTTCAGTCAGTGAGGAGCATCCCATTTCAACTGAAGAGCATTTGCTGAAAACAATCAGTGACAACCATTTAATGCTGCAGATGCCCAAGGCAGTGATACCAGCTGGAGCCCAAAAGATGAGGGCAAACAAGAGGAAGAGCTAGGGAATGAGACGACCACAAGAGGCTTTGAAGAGCTTCAACATATTCCTAAGAATCTAGAAGATCACTTGTATGCTCATGAGAAACCTCAGAAAGCCCTATGCTCTCACATGTGGTTGACCGTGAGACTACATAAACAGGAAGTGAAAGCTAAGGCAGAGATGTAAATTACTTGGACATGTTGAAGGCACCCCCCCACCACACAAACAGAGGCCCTCAAAAAGGGGGAAGACGTACTGCTTCAAGGAATTTAAGAAAATCTCTGTCAAATCATTAGCTAGCTGAGCAGAGATTTCAATGGCTGCACATGACAAAAACAGACTTTACAAATTAGTCCAGGAAAGTCACTAAACAAACAGCAACAATAACAAGCCTTGGGGAAAATTATCTGATTTCTAGAGTTGTCACCTATTATTAAAAATATCAATTTCTCAACAAAAAATCATGAGAAAAGCGAAGTAACAGAAAAACATAGCCAATACACAGTAAATAAAGTGAAATCACTTACATCCAGAACATACAACGAATTCTTAGAATCAATAATAGAAAGACAAATCATGTAATTTAAAAATGAGCAAAGAACTTGAATAGACATTCTCCAAAGAAAATATGCAAATAGCCAATTAGCACATGAAAAGCTGCTCAGTATCACTTGTTATCAACCAAAATGAAGGAGAATGACTATAACCGAAAAGAATAATAACTGCTGGCAAGAACGCAGAGAAAAGAGAACCCTCATACACTGCAGTCACCTGGGAAAACAGTTTGGCAGTTGATATAATGTTTAACATAAAACTTACCACGTGACCCATCAATTCTACTCCTAGGTATATGTCCAAGAGAAACGAAAACATACGTCTACACAAAAATATACACACGAATGTTCACGGTCATTAGCACTGGTCATAAGTCAAAAAGTATAAATAATCCAAAAGCCCATCAACAGACAAACAGATAAATTAAACGTGGTATAGTCACACAAGAGGATATTATTAAGCAACAAAAAGGAACAGACTACTGATACATGCTATAAAATGGGTAAACCAGGAAAACGTTATGCTAAGTGAAAGCGAGCCACAAAAGAGCACCTATTGGGCGCCTGGGTGGCTCAGTTGGTTAAGCGACTGCCTTCGGCTCAGGTCATGATCCCAGGGTCCTGGGATTAAGTCCCGCATCGGGCTCCCTGCTCAGCAGGGAGTCTGCCTCTCCCCCTCTGACCCTCCCCCTCTCATGCTCTCTCTCTATCTCATTCTCTCTCTCAAATAAATAAATAAAATCTTTAAAAAAAAAAAAAAAGAGCACCTATCGTAGAATTCCTTTCGTATCATAATGAAGAATAAGCACATTCACGAGACCGAAAGATTCGTGGTTTCCAATGTCAGGGGGCAGAGAAGAATAGGGAGTACAGGTAATGGGTATGAGGCTTCTTTTTGGGGTGATAAAATGTTTTAATTTTTTTTTCTTAAATAAGCTCCACGCCCAATGTGGGGCTTGAACTCCTGACCCTGAGTTCAAGAGTCACACGCTCTACTGAGACAGCCAGGCGCCCCTGGGGTGGTGTCAACTGCACAACTCTGTGAATATGCTGAAAACGCTGAATTGTACATTTTATTTTATTGTATTTGGGGGGGTGGAGAAGGAGAGACAGAATCTTAAGCAGGCTCCACACCCAGCACGGAGCCTGATGTGGGGCTCAATCTATCAACCCTGAGATCATGATCTGAGCAGAAATCAAGAGCTGGATGCTTAACCAACTGAGCCACTCAGGGACTCCTGAACTGTACATTTTAAAGGGTGAATTTTCTGGCAAGTAAATGATGTCTCAATAAAGGTATTAAAAAAAAAGCAAAGGATGAAGACGCAGCGTTAGTAAGGAAACAAGCTAGGGTACAAAGAGTAAGGGGCCATGACACTGGCCCGTTCTGTACTGTTGCCAGCATCTCAGGCTGGCCCAACAGGACCCCACATGGTCTCTAAGCTGAATCAACCATCACCTTCATCAGTCACACGGCCGACTGTAAAACACTAGGAGACCCTCATGTCAGCAAATACTCACAAATGGAGATCATCAGTTTCCACAGTCAAAGGCAAATGCCGCCAAGAATACGATCCATTCATCTCCCACAAACACGTCAGAACTGTCCTTGGTCCACAGAGTGACCAGGCAGTGGCCTGGGACCTGATGAAGCTGTGACGCCAGTTCCCAAGGGAGGCCACAAGCTCTGTCCACAGAGGGACTGCACGCAGGCAGGAGGCTGCACCAGACCCCAAGGCCTGGACTGCCTCAGGCCCTGCCTGTGCCCTGAACACTGCCTAGGCGGGCAAGACGAGCACCTTGTGGGCTCCATCTTGCTAAAAACGAAGTCTCCCAGGTCTCGGACTAACTGAAATGCTGACATGAGGATCCCCTAGTGTTTTATAAACAGCAGTGTGACTGATGAAGGTGATGGATGGTTCAGCTTAGAGACCGTGTGCGTGGGGTCCTGCTGGGCCAGCTAGACCTGGACGGATGGAGACAAGGACACAGCTTCCAGCTCCATGGCATCTCGCCCAGAAACTGCGAGGCCCTCTCGGAAGGCACAGGAATGACCACAGTGGCGTCTGGGGAGCAGGCCAGGAGAGCTGCCTCTTGGTGATGCACACGATCCCGTACAAAACCTCCTCATCCAGACCCCACACCTCCCCTACTTCCTGCCAAGGGCAGCAATCTGCAGGCAGGGAGGGCCCTCCGTCCAGGCCTCCTGTGGCAGGCACTGTTGCTCCCTGCCAAGCGAGTTTCACCTCCCGACACAGTTGGGCCGACCTGTCTCAGCGCTCACCGCTTTCTGTATTTTAGGAAGTGTTTACGGTACAGACACCGCATGTTACCTAACGCCCCAGCAGCAAACCCGATGAACGGACTACGCAGTGGATAAATAGCCTCATGTCCCTTTGACCAAGTCTGGCCGCCAAATGAGCTTCCCCTGAAGTTGCTCTGCAGCAAATGTCACTTCATTAGGGTCCGCGGCCACCTAATTTCTACCACCTCACGAGGCCAAGGAGGGAAAAAGGTACCTCTCGGCTGCCCGCGAGGCTGCAGGTGGCAGCTAGCGCTCCCAACCGCCCCGATTCGGTACCTGGTGGCTGGCCTGGGTCCCGCGTGCCTGCACCGTGGCCAGCCTGTCGTAGTACCGGGAGATGGGGTTGTCGTGCTCAATGCCCTTCTTGGCACAGCGCTGCTTGTAGATCTCCACGAGGGAAAGAGAAGAGGGGTTGTCCTCCACGAGGCGCATCTGTGGGGACACCGCCACCACGCGTGGAACTGGGGAGAAAGGAGAAGGCAATGGGAGCAGACCGAGAGAACACGCCTGGGCAGCGCTCGACCCCACTTCCAGGGCTGTCCCCGGAGCAGCTCACTCAGCCCTTGGTGAGCAGAGGACGCGGGGCAAGTCGGAAGTCACACACCGAGTCCTAACTCGGCACATGGCAGGAAGCCCGACCTCCTGGGTGACGGAGCCTGAGCTGCCATCACTTTGTGATTAAGACACAGGGGAACAGAAATTCTTTAGAAAGCAATCTTCAAAAAACCTAGAGACTCTGCCAACGGTTTACTCTTTAGAGGCCCTCCTTCACCGGGGTTCTATCAGCAGAGTTCAATCGTCCCCCTCACTCCACGGTGCCCGTCGAGTGTGGTTACGTTAACCTGCCTTCCAGTGTCGGCATGGCTGGCCCCCATCTTGGGGAAATTAGGAAAATGCTCCAGTCCTTTTCTGTGTTCTGTGGTTCAGTGACGGGAAGCTCCCAGAGTGAATCTGATCGTTCCACCCAGTTACGTCGTGGAGCTGTACTGAGAGTGAGGCACATTTGGGACCCCGATGACCACTCTCGCACTGGACGTGCCTTTTATGAAGCGGTTCACCTCACATGCTGATAACCTCCATTGGGACCGCACTTAACTAGAAAGTGCCGGGCGTGCCCGCCCTGGAGCCAGACAGCCCGCACTCACATCCCAAGTCTGTTTTCCCAGTGATGTGACCTCGGGAACGGTCACTGGACGTCTATGAACTTCAGTTTCTTCATCTACAAATAAAAGTATAAAACATACCCCATAGGGTTGCTGGCAGACTAAATAATACTTTAAAGATATTAGACCAAGGTAATATTACTAAGACTTTTTTTCTAAGTATGCTCTATGCCCAGTGTGGGGCTTGAACTCATGACTCCAAGATCAAGAGTCATATGCTCTACCGACTGAGCCAGCCAGGTGCCCCCGAAGACATTTTGTTGAAGATATTTTGTAGAGAGCTGAGAAATTTCCTGAAGATAGCAAAGAAGGTAGCGAAATCAAGCTTGTCCAGCATGGGGTCACAGCAGCAAGCTGCCCGGGTGCTGCTGAGTGGTCCAGCGGAAGCTGTGGAGTCCCTGTGCCAGCACCAGCCTGTCCCTAGGCCGCTCTGACTGCCTGCACCCCCGCTGGGCGTTCACGTGTGATTCTGGCTTCTAAGGAGCCTAGAGTGGATTCGGCCTAATGTCCGTTAAAGCACGACTACTAGCTTGCTGCCAAGACGTCACCCCACCAAGAAATTCCCCAGTGACTTGAGGGCACTTATCTGAACTGTCATTTGATGCTGACCAAGAGTTTGTTTCTTTGGAAAAAGCAAAGAACCATCTACTACCCCCAGATGTGATCCACACTATAAATCCCATTACATACATGTTAACACGCATACGGTTTTCTATGGACTTGTTTTTGAGATCTACTTCTTACTTTGGGGATGTTGAACTTAAGGGTAAGAGATTTTAGGTCAAAATGGGTTGGATTCTTAGTGGTCAGAAGAAAGCTCCATACGGGACTAGGTAACGTGCATTGCAGTGGGCTCCTAACCTCAGAGATTAGATGCTAAACTGTTTTAAGTGGTTCTCTTCTCTGAATGGGATGACAGCTCACCCCTGCCCCCATTACAGACAGAAATGGGTCACTCACGAATCACCCACAAGTTGGTATGGAAACCCCTTACTCAGAGGCTGCTGGTCGCCGCGTGACCAAGATTTCTAGGGCCTTCACGGGGCTTCTCGACTCTCCCTTGCACTGCATTTCCCGCCGGGAAGGCACGTTCCGGCCGTGGCCACTCGGTGCAGTGTAAGCTCCAGGAGTCTGTCAACATGCTCACACCACGGCCTGTGCTGAGCCCATGAGCTCACGTTTCACCAGAGCACGGATGGACTCCCGGGCAGGGACAAACAGCTGTGGGCGCAGACACGGCAGCCCCTTTGCCAAACCAATACTCATGAGACAGTTGTCTAGCAGCAAGGAGCCTAACGGCTGGAGAGTGGCTTCTTCTGGGAGCAGGGCCCTCATTCCAGAGCCTTTCCTGCTTGGTGTGCGTTGGGGCACTCTCAGCTCCCAGGAGACGGCACACGTGAAAACCCGCAAAGGCTGATGGGAGTGGCCGTGTACCCCAAAGGGCACCTCTCCTACCTGTGAAAAATAAGTGCCTCTTTGTGGTTTCCTTCCTCTTCTCCAGACAGGGGTTCAGCAGACGGAGCAGCTGCAGTACGCGCTCCTCTCGCCGGGACTCGGTCAGGCAGGCGTCGTTCATGACGAGGTACGGGTAGATCTTGCCGTTGTGGCCGCGGATGTAGAGTCTCCGGGCTGCAGTGTTGTGCTTCTGCACGATCTCCACCCTGGGCATAAACCTACCCAAGCAGGCACACAATGAAACACCAGCTCCCCGAGCCCTCAATTTCCAGTCCTTTTCTTTGAGGAAAAAAGGGAACTTTACAAGAAGGGCATCCAGAGTTGTCGCGGCCAGACTCCCGCAGGTACAGCCCCCACTCTGACAAGGTATGAATGGCACGACACTCTTCTATGATGCGGGGAAGACCCCCTGGCAGAGGGGAAACGCAGAAGAGAAGAGGACGCTGCAGTTTTAAAACGATCAGCCACGGGGTCCCTCTTCAGGAGCTCAAGGAGCGCTGCCGATTGGCTCTGAGCACCCCAGCTGCAGAACTGGGGTGGGGGGGGTGGGGACAGGTGCCCCAGGAGCGAGCTTGAGGACTACACACCCTCGCCCTCACCTCCCTCCCGTGGGCCAGGGAGCAGGGATGGTTGGCCAGAGGGGAGTCACATCTGGAGGACCAGGAAACCTGATTCTGGATGCACGAGGAAGCAGACTTCTGGGTCTGATTATGACCATTTGTTACAGCACTTCTGACATTTACAGTAAGATATAACATCTACTCTAATAGATCTTACAACTGTCCAATTCTGTTTTGAATACTGAGCTTTAGAAGTTTTATGGACTGGGTGACTTTGTCCAGTTCTGTGGGGATTCAGAAAAGGTTCTTTTAGAAGCAAAAGAAACACAAACTTGACTCAAACAAGACATTTCACCCATCAGTTAGGACAGACCCTTCAAGTGCCTGATTCCTGAAATCCGAGCACAATCTCCCGTTCTCCCATTTCAGGGGCAAGGACAGCATGGCGGTGGGGGGGGAGGGAATGAGCCTGGACGGCTGCACGAGGTCTGCCCTGAGGTCTGTCCCACGGCGGGCTCGCCCGGGGCGGTGTGTGTTGGTGACTAACTGCCACGCTGGGCTCACTCACCGAGCAATCTTGATGTAATAATGGGTCGGCTTGGGCATCAGAAACTCCCCTGGAATTTCTACTTCCGCTGTCTGTGCTGAGAAATTGCTCAAAAACCGGCACTTCTCTTCTATGAGGAAGAACTTTGGAAGCTGCTTGGTTTTAGCCTCCAGGATTTTGATCCACTTTTTCAACTTAGAAATAAGATTGTGAAGCTTCATGGATCCTGGAACACTGAAATCAAAATCTTCAAAATAAAAAATAAAATATAATTAAAAACAGTTTTAATCATCTGGGCTATCTGGAATTCACTACAAGATCATGCTCAAAAGCCTCCCAGGTAGGAAACAGGCATGTTTTATTTTACATCTTCTAACCTGGAGCAGAGAACATCTCAGTCCCTGTCACTCTTTAAAGTGTAAGTTGAAACCTGAGTGACTGGTCTACCAACCCCCAGACTGGAGGAGGGAAGGGGTGAACCGCCAGCAGGAAGCCTCACCCCCAGTCACCACAGGTCCCGCGGAGCCCTCCGAGGGGCCCTGGAGCCCACTGGGCCAGCCCTGAAGGTCACTGCCCTCCGCCCACCGGCAGCCCCGCCTGAGAGCATGCCTCACACCTGGGAACCACGGCCCTGTGCCAAAAGCCAACACAGTAATTAACTTGAGGCTAAAGGAGAAAGAAACCAACCCCGGCAAATACTAAATTATAAATCAGTTCATCAGAAGAAATTAAGGCAAGGCACTGAAGTGACAAAAATGGAAACCATGCCCTTTTCATTTAAGCAATTAGAATACTCCTTATTGCTGTATATCTCAGATTTTACTGAGACTCGGTATTAAAAGGTCAATTAAACTGAAAAGCTCTTCTTTAAAAAAAGCGCCCGCTCCACACAGACGAGCACCAGGGGTCAAAGGGGCTCTGAGTTACTCCAACTTGCCGGAGCCCGAAGGTCAGGATAAGCCGAACCTTCTCTGTTGCAAATGGAGCCCGTGGAAGCCGCGGTCCCCTCGCTGACAAGGGCCGGGATCTGTGACGTGGCAGGAGCTGTAGCACTCAAGCGGAAAGGCTCTGTGGAGCCTCTCGCGGGCGCTCTTCTGCAGACTCAGGTGGTGTGGGGGGAGCCTGGTGCAGACTCCTGCCCCCAGTCCTCACTGCGTCCTCCCCACCGCCCCTCCAGGGCTGCAGCAGGCTGGGCCAGGGCCAAATGCAGGGAAAGTGAGCAGGGGTCAACAACGTGTGTGTGGAACCAGGGGCCGGCGGAGGCCCCATCAACACCCACACGGCGGCCCAGAGGGGCCGTGGCCATCCGGATGCCAGCGCAACCTCGGCACGCCCAGAAGCACTGCAGTCGAGGTGCCCAACTGTCCATCAGCACAGATACCCCCTCTTAGCCCTATGGCTGCACCCGCCTCTGCCCTCAATCCCTGACTCCTGGCCACCACTAACCCATTCTCCACCTCCATCCTGACGTTATTTTACAAATGTTTCCTAAGTAAGGACCACGCAGTAGATGTCCTTTCGAGATTGGCTTTTTTTTTTTTTTAAG